TCAATTTAAATGCTTCTTAATCGCATGAAAACTTTTACGTTTGTGCATCTACACACCATCAGCATCATCCTAAATTTAGATTACCTGCGTCTCTGTTATGGAGTCCTGGATAAAGTTAAGTGAGATTAATTTTTTATCACCTTTGTTGCTCTGTGTTTGTGAGATTAGAGCATGGACGAGATCCCAAACGGCTGAGAATTGAAAAACAAATAAAGTAGAAAAAGACTGGTTTATGCACAAAAACCTGCCTTTTTAGTTAGTTTATTTAAAATTAGGACTTTGTGTCAAAGAACAGACCTGCATTGACCCACAAGGCTGTCTTTGTCAACAAACAGAACAGAATACAACATATTTTATTAAAAATTCAAGTTTATGTTTGAACACTGAAAAAAATCTAAATCTACCAGTCGTCACAGTTTTATATGGAACAAAATGAAAAAGTACTGCATGTGCCCACAAATAGTCATGTACAATATACAATAATAGTAATTTTAAAAATAAATCAGCCAAGTGAAATGACTCATTTTAGAAAAAGGGGCTTTAAAAGATCTTCATATTTAAAACTGGGCCACAGTAGTCTGTAGGTTGGTAATGGCTTACGTACGTTAAAACGATCTCCAGGGGCTTTATTCAGAGTAACAGCCCTTCTCGGTTGGTCTCCTTTCTCATCCAGAAGAGTGTGTTCAGCTTTGGCGAACTGGGTGTTTAACTCACTAGGCTCAAAATGGAGAAAGAAGCTAACAAGTAAATCGAATAAACCCTACTCTGAAAGCTTTGGAAAAGTGATGTGGAAGTAAATTGGTGCATGTGTCTTGACTTAATTCTGTGGTTTCTCTCTACCAGCTTCTCAAACACTGAAGATTTGTTTTGTAACACAATCAAATGTGAACTATTTTGCACTCTGAGAATTTGCAATGCGATTTCACCATTCTATACATTTTAGAGACCAAATTACTCCTCTTTCTGTTTCCAGTTGGCTGACTTCCTCTTTCTTGTGTACTTCCTTAAAATGGCCGAAGACATCTTTCAGATGGTTGATGAGGCTTTATGAATTATTCTTCAAGAATTATTAATCATGGCGACTTTTATCTATCTTGACCCTTTCTTTGTTAATTTTATGGAGAAACCTTTTCTGTGCAAAAGTTGCATTCGCATGAGCTTTCATTATGTGCTTCTAAAATTGGAGGCACTCAGACTTGTTTCATGCATCTGTGCAGTAATGGCAACCTGGCAGTGAGAAGATCAGGCCAGCTTCAACAGGCGCAGTGAAACCCTGAAATGGCCTTTAGGGAGCTATTTGATTGATCATCATTCTGCAGCATGATAATGAGCCTCACCATCCAGCTAGTCATAAAGAACTGAACTACCTTCAGCTACAAAGAGTCCTACTACTGATTTTTCAGGCACTCATAAGCTATTTTCACACATGAACTCTGGAAAATGGCTGGACAATCTGGTCAATAAAGCCCAATGTTGTACACAAAACAGGACAGAGCCCACTTCATGCTGGTTCTCAATACTGGAAATGCACAACTGGACATCACAAGAACTTTGTGCAAGAGAGCTGGGAGGTCAAAAATGGTTTAATGTTCAAACGGACTGTTTAAGAACAGCTTTGGAGTAGGACTGGAATGGCACAAACAGACTGAAAGCTGAGTGTTGTGAGTTCTTTGTGTGAAAGATCCAGACACTAACAGTAAGAAACAAAAAAGAGCTAGAAAGAGTAGTAGTACCATCGACATTCTTCTGCACTTTTATACTGTTGTGGTGAAATCTGGGAACCCATTGATTCAGTCTGGTTACCGAGCATCTTGGACTAATAGCCAGTGTTTCGGGACTTCCAGGGCATAAAGATCGCGATCCAACACACAAAGGTGTAAGCTCTACAAGTAGAAATTTTATTCTTTTGGAACATCAAGCGTGGACATCGCCTGTCTGGACCGAAACTTCCTGCCTGTTAATAGTTCAACTCTGAATGCAGAAAAATATTTTTAAAAGGGTTAAATCCTCATGTGATAGTTGGCAATGCTTTTGATATCTTTTGTCACCACATGGATAGCTTACCTGCATACACTGATATCTCGCTCAAGCAAATCAAGACAAACAGCTACAAATTCGAAATTTCATGCATCATCTAGAAATTCTGCATATTCTTCCGATTATAGAGAGTAAGTGTAGTTCAAAAAGGGTAGGAGAAGGCAGGAGGAGGTTTACGACACCATCTGACCATGTGATGTGCAGCATCAGTGAGGTTGAGCCACCTTCATGTCACACTTAAAGGAACTGCTCGGCCATGAAAACCCATGCAATGAAGCTCCCGGCACACGTTTTTTTTGTTGCTGATGTTAATGTCAGAGAAGGCTTAAAACTGCGTAGTTATGGAGTCAGCACAACTCCGCTCTGTAACTTTACCTGGTCTACATGGCCTGAACTAAACAACGCAGAAGCACTGGAGATGCTTTGGCCCAAGGTGTACCCTGCCTCTTGTCTTATTACAGATTGGAGAGGATCTGGTCTTTAAGGACCCTGAACTGAATAAGAGCTTAAGAAAAATGGATGGTTCCTGTCCCTGGAGCTATTTGTACTAAAACTGCTATCTGGGTGGGGATCTCTAACCAACATATTGTCCCTATAAAGTAAACAACATGCTGCTAAAGCTGACATTTTAATACATTCATATCAGCAGTTTTGTATTTCAGACTTAGCTCTGTAGATACAGGAAAGTGGATGGTGCCAGAGTATTTACTGAAAGGTTTAAGATCTTTGCACAGATCAAAGAAATCTAATTCTTTAACAATATGCTGAACAGTTTTCTGCCTCTGCTACTGTCTCTTCTATCGCACACTGCCCTGAAAATGCAGAGACAAAACTGCTGCAAGCCCTCTGTGCTGACCTGCCGAGCACCTTGAAAAGTGACTTTGTGCCATTATCCTTCAAACCATCCTCACGCTTGCCGTCCTATAAATACAGAATGTGTGAGCATGATGTCAGAAGAACAGGAAGCTCACGCCGTGGTTGTTACCACGACAACCAGGTTCAAGGACACAGGGGCAGAGTAGTGCTGGATCATCATTAAGAAATTCACACACAGATGAACGTACGTGCACGGTGATCGGGGCCTCTCATTTGGCACTTCAGAGCATTTAAAGTGAAGAGTCACTTCCTTCCCTCTTCTGTAATTATTCACCTGTCTGCCTGTCTGTATGTTGGTGTGTCTGTCCTGCAGGTATGCAGATGTGAAGTTACTAATCAGCTGCGTGCAGGCGCAGGCAAAAAAAAAAAAAAACCCAAACTTGCAGCCGTTGCAGCAGGAAACACTTTATATCTGCCTCTCCTCTCCTCCTGCAGAGCTCCTTTTTTCCCTTTCCCCCTCCTTTTTCTCATTAAAACGTTCCTCATCTCGCTCGTTCAGCCAGAGGAAGCGTGACACGCTGGAGATGAGGTGACGGGGTGAGTGTGCTCAGTGCAGTTCCAAATATGTATTGTCAGCACTGTGCATAATCTCCACCACTACCTTTACATCAGGCTCAACTCACCTCAGTGAGTAGACCCCACCTCCCCAGCGGCAGCAGCCACCTCCTGTGTATACATTACACACCACCTCCTGCATCCACCAATCAGGAGGCAGAGCAGGGAGGCAGACTTGGAAAGCACATAGTTACAATGGTGGATCTATACGTTTGGCTCTCGGCAGGAGGCGACAGGGGCACCGAGATAGTCGGCCGTCCGGAGAAGGAGGAGCAGCAGGGGGCTTTATCCGAGCGGTCATTGTGATGCAGGGCATCCCCGAGCGCGTTCTGGCAAGACGCCAAATCGAGGGCACACAAACACAAGCAACCACAAACAACACACAGTCACACACACACACTCCACTCTTGGGGGCTGTAATGGCCACTCTCCATTAAATGTAATCACTCAAAGTCTGTGTCGATTCATTGGAAAAGGTATGAAACACACACACACACACACACACACACACACACACACACACACACACACACACACACACACACACACACACACAGGGCAGAAGCAGGATTCTTGAATGAAGGTGCTTGGATTTTGAACATTTCCAAAGATTCGGCATGTGATTGAGGTGAGAAAACATGAGCGGCTCCTTTTAAAGCGTGGGCGTAGGTGACAAGTGAAGATGGCAGCCTGAGTGTGAGGAGCCATGTGGAGCTGCACAAAAATGAGATGCTGCTGGCATTTTGCAGGCGTTTGAATGAGGCTGTTAAAAGGTCAGACATTTGGAGGTAAAGAGGAACACACACACAAACACACAGACGTAGACACAGGTGGATTTTGGCTGATCTCCCATCATCCACCCTGCTTCATGAAATGAAAATGAAGCAGCTTGTAAAGAGCTTTTCATAAAAGGTCATTTGACTCGCCCGCCCCATCGGAGCAGGGATGGAAGGAGGAAGAGGAGGAGAGGGGGTTGTCCCACAATCATGGAAACCACTATTTAAGAGTTTTTCCCAATCATCATCATCACCTGAGCGTGTCCCTGGGGTATCAGGTGCACACACACGCTGCTGCAGTCACAGTCTCACAGGAATACAAATACCAGACAGCCACTTGCCTCAGATCTGAGCGTAAAACCACACACACACACACACACACACACACACACACACACACACACACACACACACACACACAGACAGTGGGTGAAAAAGATCAAGAGGATCTGCAGAATACATACACCCCTCTTCTTCCTCCTCCTCCTCCTCCTCTCCCCCTCAGGCGCCATGCAGCACTCAGGATGAACCCAGAAATCCTGACGTCTCACGGTGAGGTGTCAGCTCCCCTACAAACACACCCTGCACGGGACTCAATGCATGAGCGGTGAACGTGCTGGCACACAGGTGTGTGTGTGTGTGAGAGAGAGTTTAACGTGAGCATGCAAAGGTGAGAGAAAAAAGGGTGGGTGTGACAGGGAGATTTAGGTGCAGATGCGCGTGGAGATGTTCACACATGACGAGAAATCAGCTTACCTTTCACATGGCTCTCGTATTCAGCAAGGATTTCTTTGTCCTTCTTGCTTTTGTTTGAGTTTGACATGTCGCCACAGCGCAGGTGACTGACCGGCAGGTAGACAGGAAGAAGAAGAAAAAAAAACACACAAGAAGAACAAGAAGAAAATTATTTCCCTCCGCGTGCACCGCCCGAGGCTTCACCCGCAAACATGCTCGGATCCATCCAGTGCCGCAACAACACAGCCAGCAGTGGCCCCGCACCTCTCCACGCTGAGGAGCAGCAGCAGGAGGAGGAGGAGGAGGAGGAGGAGGGGGGAATCACGCACACTCAGAGAGAAATTACCCACTCGTGACCGCAGACGCCGCCGCCGCCGCGAGGACGAACAACCAGCTGATTAAACTTGGAAAAAAAAGAAAAAAAAAAGAAGCCCGACTTCACCGCGTGCAATCACACTCGCGCGCGTGCACACGCATGCACCGGTCTGCAGGGAGTGAGGAGCGGGAACACGCCCACTAGGTAGACGTGCGCTGGACCACACACGCATACGCGCGCGCGCACACACAGAGGGTCGAGTGTCCCTGTTTAAATGTTATCCTCACCCCGCCGTGACCGGCACGCGCAGACGCACCAGCCCTGCGCGCGTGCAGATAATTCCAATAAGGGGGGAAATAAATAAATAAATAAATGAAATGCCGGTGAGGAAATGGGTGTGTCCGGCCGGTAGGCGGAACCGGAGGCATGATTGACAGCTTCGGCGGCCAGTGAGTCAGAGAGAGAGAGAGAGAGTGTGTCCAGGAGCATCTGTTAAAGAAAATTACATTCAATTTTTTCATGTTTTATTTCTCCAATTCAGTAGTGCTAAATCACAACAACAGTTGCCTCTGGGTGATTAATATTGTAAGATAAACCCCCACAAAAATACAGAAAAAACCTCAACAATCAGATCAGTGAGCACATGGCCACAGAGGGAAGGAAAAACTCCCTTTTAACAGGAAGAAACCTCCAGCAAAACCAGGCTCAGGGAGGGGCAGGCATGTGCCGTGACCTCTTGGGGGTGTTTAATCTTTCTATTTAAAATTATATAACAACAACAATAATAATGAGCTTATAGCACTCTGTAAACTCCAGAGAGCTTCACCAGCAGGATAAAACAAACACTGGAAGACAGTTAACTGTGGACAAAGTAACAGAAAAACACAGAAAAAGCAGTTTGAAGGAAGTCAAAACTCAAATAAAATCAGGAGGATCTTTAGCTTCCGACTGGGCCCCTGGAACAGACTAGAGACCTCTGCGGTCTGTACAGGTGCATCTGGCACTGAGAGGTCTTTGTTGTATACTGATAAGAGAAACCTGTCTAAAACACTACGTATCTCTGCAGTCACCGTCAAAAGAATTTCTAAGATGACAAATACGTGAATGTATGATTCTTTGCAGCAGATCCACAGAGGAAGTAGCCAACAGGCTCTAAACTCTTTCTGCTGCATTTGGACTGTATGAATGGAGCAGCGTGATATCAGCTCAGACAGAAGCCGCACAGCCTTTTAAAACTGAGTTTATGGTTATTTGACGCCACCTGCTGGCTGTATTTGATAATGAGCTGCACCAACAGAAAGCGACTGTAAAAATAATTCTTGCAAGAATCAGCCAGTTGTCCCTTCATTTTGACTTGAGAGAGAAATCCACATAAACGTTGATTAAAAACGCAAGAATATACACTATATACAATGTACAAGTACACTAGAATAACAAATCGGGTTTGGTGTCTTATTCATTTTATTTAATGTTTATCATGTTGATGTGCATGATGGATTTACTAATATTTAATTTTCGATTATTTAACACAACAAATAGCTTAAATAAAGCAAAAGAGCTCAATTAAACACAATAAAAAATCACAAAATAAAACTGCACCATAAGGAAAATTTTACAAAAGCGAAAGAAACACAATTAAAGAGAAAATGCTACAAAGTTGAATACAGTACAATAAAGTGGCTCTTTTTCATGTTTTGCTGTTTTTGTACTTGTTTAATTAGCACTAGGTGGCAGCAGAGTGTCTCAGATCTGCTCTCTAACAGCTCCACAGTCGAACAAGAAACAAGAAGTCAGACCAGCACAGTCCTGAGGTTCACTCTGGACCATCATCTGGCACAATAACAGCTGTAATCGAGCCGGTCTGACAGCCTCAGATACACCAGGCCCCAGCAGCAGAGATTGCGACACATAACACAGTTAACTAAACGTTTTCTTTCTAGTTTCAGCTCTAACAGCACCGTTTTCACAAAACTGACCTCCAAATGAAAACAAAATTTAAGTGAAAACAAAAATATTTCAGAACTGTGGGGTTTATTGACCAAATGGAGACACAGGAAGATCCACAACATAAAACAAAACAAGAAACAAAGAGTTTTTCCAAGTATTGTTTTGTTCTTACATCTTCTACGTCTCCTAATCACTAAAAGTCATTTAAAGGTTGTTTGTGAACATTTTAAATTTCTGTGGTTAGTTATGCCTCATTTATTGTTCCTTTTGTGGCTTTTTTTTACAACTCTGTGGTTGATTGACATGTGTTTTTGTTAGTAGTTTTGCATCTTTTTGCCATTGTTTCACATTACTCTTGTTATTTTGTGTGTTTCTTTTGTTTTCCTTCATCTTCATGTTGGCATTTTATGCTATTCAATTCAATTCAGGTTTATTTAGCCCCAAATCCCAGCACGAGTCACCTCAAGATGCTTACAAAGGTAGGGTAAAAAGCTTACAGTTTTTTCTGAATGCTTAAACCCTAACTGTGATTCCTGTAGCACAATCTCTAAAACTATTCAGACTTA